CTCCTCGCGTAAGAGTGATCATAGTTAAAAATCAATAATCAAAACAAATATAGTAATAATATTGATCTGTGATAAACTTATCACAATATGTGTGAAAAATAATAAAAACAGATAAAAATTGAAAAATTGATTGAGGCAGCGAGTACTTAGAGTGAGTACATAATTCGTGAGACCATTGTATAATTTTTTCATATTGTGAAGGAAAAAAAAAACAAAAATTTTTTTAAATGAAAAACCGCCGCATGTACTAAATTGAAACGAAAAACCAAAGGGTCGACGCGGTCGTGGTCTGCTCGCCGACCTACACCCACGAGGGGATCGTGACACGCGCCCTGGAGGCGAAAAAAGCCGTATTCTGCGAAAAACCGATCGCCGAGAATCCAGAGGACACGGCCAAGTGCTACGAAGCGGCGGATAAGTTCGGCAAGCCCCTGTTCTGCGCCTTCAATCGGCGCTTCGATCCCAGCTACTCCAACGTCCGGCAACGATTGCGCAGTGGCGAAATCGGCCACGTCCACACCATCAAACTGGTCGCCCGCGACTCACCCCTGCCGAGCATCGACTACCTCAAGATATCCGGCGGCATCTTCCACGACTGCATGGTCCACGACATTGACCTCATGACCTACACGATCGGCGAGTACCCGACCAAGGTGAGCGTACATCACATACTTTAACCGTGTACCATTATACGAGAGCCAAGACACGATTCCGTAGGTCGCTGTCTACGCAACGGCCCACATCCCGGAGATCAGGAGCATCAAGGACTGGGACACGGTGGTCGCGATCTTCAAGTTCCCCTCGGGCACGGTGGGCACGGTCGACCTGTCGCGCAACTCCTGCTACGGCTACGACCAGCGGCTCGAGGTGTTTGGTCCTCGTGGCATGATCGACGCGACCAACGAGCAGCCCCTCCACTGCGTGACCACCCAGATCGGCCTTGCCGGTCAGCGCCGGCCGCCGATCTACTACTCGTTCGCCAGCCGATTCAAGTTGGCCTACCACTACGAGATGGAGGCGTTCATAGACGTCGTGCTCGGCAAGGCCAAGCCGCTCGTCCACCCGAAGGAGATACTCGCGGTGAGCAAGATCGCCAGCGCTTGCGAGGAATCGGCCAAGACCGGCAAGTCCGTCGATATATCCTGGACTCCCTCGGAGCTGCCGCCCCCTACCAACTGAGCTCGGCTTCGCTTTTTTAGAAGATACGAATAAAAAGCTTTTTTTCCCGTCATCAGTTTGCATCATGTGTACCTTTTTGTTTTTAAAACCTTGGTTGGGTATTATACTATTGGGAAGGAAGCACGTAGACGATGGCCAAACAATTGTTGCGCTACTTTTATTTACATGTCATAAATTACAATCTTTTTTTTGTTTTTTTGTTTTTTTTTTTTTGTATACACATACATTTATGAAATAATTCGATAATTTACACGGAAACTATATTTTTGATCTATAAAATCAATCGTCTCTTGAAGAAAAAGACACTCAAACGCCACGTCTCATCGAGACGATAAAATTCATTGGGTAATTTTTTGTTTTGTAAAAACACGCACGCATCGCGGTCAATTGTCGTTACACAGTGAGTTAAAGTTAATATAATAAAGGATTAAAACGAAAATCATGCATCCCAAATATTTCACTTGTCGATGAGGATGGCGGTACTTTTGCACAAGTCCTTGGCCTCTGGCTTGAAAATGGTGCTCTTTATGCGAGTCCAACCGAGGATGCTTTTCTTCTTTTTGCGCTGAGGCTCGCAAGTCGATTGTTTCAAAAAGTACTCCTCGACGGTGCAGGTGGACAATGGCTTTTTCTTAAATGGCCAGCGATTGCGAGGTTTTTTCGGCAAAGCTAAAAAAAAATACCCGTCTTATTTTACAGAGATGCACGCAAACGGAGCCTTTAAGATTCTTACGTTCGGCGTCCCTCAGCTCGTCTATCACTGCCCTGAAGTTGTGCCTTGTACCGATCTGCATGCCGAGTTGGCCCTTCTCGGCGTCGAATTTCGATTTCCTCCTCTCTTCGTCACCCGATTTGCTTTTCAATCTACGCGAAACAGAGAAATGGTTAAATTTCCGCGAAAAAGAAAAAAAAATAAAATAAAACGCTATACGCACTCGTTGAGGCTTTTACGGCTGGTGAGTTTTCGTTCGATCAGCTTGACGCGCTCTTGGAAACTGAGACCCGCAAAGGCCTCGAGGCTGTTGTCCGTCTCGTCGTTCGGGCCGGTGCTCTTCCGGTAGCGCTGTTCTATCGTCAAGTGGGTCAACAGATCTGCAACAAACCAAACCCTCGAAAACGTTGCTCAACACCCGAGATAATCCTGTATACTACCTCTATTCTCGTCCTTCAACCGCTGAATGGTTTCGTAGCAGTTGAAATTCTTTTCCAAGTCCGTCTCGAGCAGGGCCAGTTTCTCAATGGTCTCGTTCAACTGCCGATCCTTCTCCTCCGCCACAACTTTCAATTCCCTTTGGGATTCAAAATCATGTACACAAATGACTCGCGTGGATCGAATCCATATAGGGTATGTACACGAAATACCAATACCTGTTGGTGCGCTCGAGCCTGTCGTTGTCCATCTCCAAAGTTACGTTGCGCTCCGAGAGTTTTTCGTTGTCTACTTTGACCAGCCGTAACTCGGTTTGTAGCTCGTCAACGAAGACGTTCAGGGATTTCAGTTTGTCCTTGATGGTCTTGTTTTTGCCCTCCAGGTCCTTGTTGATGCGCCGCAAGTGGTCGGCCACCGTCTCCGTTTGCTTGAACAGCACCTCCATTTCCTGCTCGTAGGCCGTCGAGCTCTTCTGGTACTCGTTGAACTCTGCACTGATCATCTGTTCCCTGTGTGGTCATCGGGTGGTTATAGATTTGGCTCGGGGTTTGGCCAAAGGGCACTTACCTCATGCTCAGGTCGAGGAATTTTCTTTTCCACTGCTGTATTTCCTCGGTGATGGAAGTCGAGCACACCGAGAGGTCCCCTAGGGACGTGTTCGCGGAGACGATTATTTCGGGCGCGCTCATGTTTGCCGCGCTAATCAAGGATAATTGGTCGAACTCGATGTGCCCACGGGTGAAACGGCACGAAACTGCGCGGTGAAATCAACTTTCGCACCCTATCGACTACGTGTACGCGAGTGGACTATGTGGTGTAAACAATAACAGAGTGAAGAAATTTGGAGACGGTATCGCTCGAAAGTTCCAGGTAAAACTGAAATAGGTAACAGCTCGGTTTGTCGGGTTACATTTGTAAGAATGGTAGAACCGGAAAATTGCCATTGCCGAAAAAGAGAGGGAGATAAATATTTGAACTCGCAAAGTTATCGACGAACACGCGATGACGTAACGATTTGGTGTTTTATGATTAACTTGTGATGTTACGCGTCGCAACAGGGGAAGCAATACTTGGAATTTGTTTGTTACTTTTCTCACGTAAGATTGTTCTCAAACAAGTATTTTTACGTTTGAACAATTTTTTGTAGAATATGTGTATTCTTGGTGCATACATGGATTATGAAAGAAGATTTTTTGCGATTTATTTAAAAGAAATGAAGAAATTGTACTCATTTATCGATCGAACAAGTTGTACACTCGACCATGTGTAAAGCTATCATGCCCAGTATTGTTGTACAAAACTATAATAAAGTCGAGGCTGTACGACAATGTACTCAACGATTTATCGATTTTCGGTAAATATAGGCTTACGAGCGCCTGGAGTCAGACAACACTCTAGACCAACCTGCAACTCGGTCGGCGCTCGCTGTAGGCGTCAGAACGGTCGTTTGTGGTACAGAATCGTTACCATGGCTACACCCATCTACAGTAAATCGTTACATACAAAGCACCGTGCACCTTTAAGTGTCTCTATACATGTTTATACAATTGAGTGGTATTTATACATTGTATATATTGATTATAGAATTCAATAAAGTCTATCGGCAAGAGAAAAGAGTTTATACTGGAGTGGACAGAAATACCGATCTTAATTATGTGACATCAAAGAAGTTTATTAAATAAAGTGGTGAAAATAAAGTGTGTGTTTCTCCCTATATTTGCTATAGTGCCAAATTCTACCGAAAATACCTGTTCATATATCATAGAGAGCAACCGATTTTTCACTTACCGATACCACATACATCATACATTATTTAATCCTCGTGAGTCAAACAATGTATATATATATATATATGAGCGAGTTTCTCTCCTGTAAAAATTTTATACATCCACATATATAGATAACAAGTCGAGCGTGCAAGTAAACCATATAGGTAGTACACACACGTCGAGATGGTGGAGGAGGGTATCGGACGGCAAAGAGGGGACTCACCTGTTTCACAACCTGCGTGACGTAGAAAAAATATAGTGCAGTAAAGGTGGAAGGGGGGGGGGCGACAGATGGTCACGTGAGCTCTCGTTCGGCACCGCCACCTTTTGTTAGTGTACCGTGCTTGGTTCAAAAAAGCCCCGCGATATGCTAACGCATATATACATATATGTACCTGTACATGAAATACATTATACATTACGTATAGCCATACATATACCAAGGTATATGGGTACCTACAGCTCCGTGCAGCGCGAGTCTTTGGACTGTGTGGCGCAGCAATAACGAACAGGAGGGAGAGAGAGAGAGAGAGAGAGAGAGAGAAGAGCGAGAGGTAGCAAAGAAGGAGGGGGAGGAGGAAGAGGGCAACAACAGGAGAGGTGGACGGCAGCGAGCGGAGCGTTCACCGCGGCACCGCGTCCAGGAGTTAATACTCGCCAGTCAAACCGCACCCACAGCCCGGCCAGGAGCTCGCGGTACCTGCGCTCCCTCTTCCCGTGTACACACCGTCTATTCTTTTTTTTTTTTTTTTTTCTTTTTACCTTTTTCCCTCCCTCGAGCACACACCCACCCTCCACCACCTTTTTATTCTCCCATTGTCTTCCAAGCGGGCTTTTTTTTCCCTACCAACGAGCCACGCGTGTCCGCGAGTCTGCGTGTCTTATCGCGCCGAAGATAAAAGCAGGTCGCGCGATAGTAGAAAAATAAAAAGGAGCCACCGAGAGACGATAAAAGGCCAAGGGGGGGCCCCCAAGTTCCAACAAAGAAGACGGACGCGCGGGGTTGGGTGGATGTTTCACCCGCGCGACGACGGTTTGAAATTTCAAAACTCTCTCCCTCCCTCCTTGGTTTTTTTATCCTCTATCCTGCCGCGTCGTTCTGGTCCACGGATACGAGAAACCAGTTTTCGGCCGCGAGATACACCCCCCCCCTCCTCCTCCTCCTTATACACGTATCTTGTCTCTGTGTTCGTACGCGCAGTGCATTAACAGTTAAGGTGCAAGAGCCAACAGTATATATCCCAACACCATGTGACTCAGATGTGTGTACTTGTACCATTATGCGGTGAATGAACACCGGAGAGGAGCAAACAAAAAAAATAAATAAAATCGTGGAGATCGGTAGTGCAAGTTAAGCGCGCGCGCGCGTGTGTGCACCGATGTACACTGCCGATGCGAAAGTGAGCGGAAAGTGAAAACAAACGCGTGCAGTTGGGTGCGCGTACCTATACGTAATACGCGAGGAGTGCACGTAAGAGTGATAGAAGGTCACTCCCGCACCCAATATACCTGGCACTTTATACCGCGGAGCTGGAGTCGCGTGGGTACTGGTATAGGTGGTGAGAGATGGCAGGTAAAAGACCGAGTAGACGGAGGACGACGAGGCTGATGCTGCAGGAGCAGCGGCTCGAGGCTACGTGATGACGAGGAGTGTCGCCGTACCGATCTCGTTGTTTTTTTTTGTTGACGGGAACGTGGGATTTGTGATAAGCTCGAGAATTACTGAAACCACAGGGGATCGATAAGCATCAGGTCGAGGGGGAGATAACAGGGGAAACGTGTGTATTATGTGCTCGCGTGTGCTTCGGTGAGACAGAAAAATCGGTAAGCGTCGGTCGAAGACTACTCGAAAATGCCCCGTGAGTGAGGAAAGTACAGGTAGAGAGAGAGAGAGAGAGTAAAAAAAGCAGAAAAATGGCTCCACTGACGTTGTTGGTGCTCTTGGCGTTCCTTGGGTGCGGGACGGTGGAGGCAACGGTGCCTGCCCAGGAGGAGAGCACCGAGCCGGCTTCCCTGATCCATTACACCGAGCCGAGCTACGCGAGCTCAAACTCCATAGAGTCGGGCTACAGGGGCCTCACCGAGCTCCCCGGTGGCAGGATAGTCAAGGGCCGCAGAGTCCTCGAGCGCTCCAAGAGCCCCTACATCCTGCGGGAGGACCTCTACGTGGAGAGGGACGCCGAGCTTGGCTTGGAACCTGGTGTCGAGGTGCGCTTCGCCCCCATGATCGGTATCACCGTCAGGGGTGTAATCAGTGCCGAGGTTGGTGTCTTTTTTTTTATTTGTCATTTGACGTGGGAGCGAGAAGCTTTTTAGTTCATTTTTCAAACTCTTACACGTCAGGTATCGAGACGAGTTTAGACGTCGGCTCTTCGTCTTGTATTTTATTGCGCGCCGAGGGGTTGAGAGGAAATAATTACGATATGATTGCGGTCTGCTGTATAATGTATACATATATGGGTGTACACGTACAGAAAGGAGGTACGAGTCTCGATAATACTTTCCTACTATGTACGAGTCGTGTGTATGGTGTTCTTCCATCATGGGAAGCGCACGATGTTTTGCTCTCTGCTCCTCGTTCGATTCGAGAGTTCCTTTAAACGACCGTGAGGTTGTTGGAGGTGGGGGAGAAGAAGCTATTGGATTTGTTTTTTCATCTTTTTTCTCTCCTCGTCCCGACATTCGCGACGCATAAAAATCGCACTCTCGAACAAGAACCACGAAACGATTCCGAGAATATTCACGGAGACACAAGTGTCGTCCCCCGCGAAATTTTTACAACGAGTTTTTTTACCCGCTTCGCCGGAACGATGCCACGACCCGTCCTTGTAGCAAAAAGCAGAAAAAAAAACAACCACCGGATAGTTGTCATGGTATAGTTGAGCGTTTCTCGAGAACGGCGTCTGCGGTAATTTCTTATCACAACTCATCTAGGCCCACGAAGCGCGTGAGACCCAAACTAGATCGGTATATACGTGTTCGTGGTCTCGTTGGTGCTTGAAGCGCATAGCCGGGATAACAGTAAACGAGCCGAGGATCGGTGTGCACGCGTCCCGCGGAGTGAGCTGCTAAGGTCAATGGCAACGAGAGGCCCTTCGAGAAAAGGCTTTTCCGATCTGCCGATTCGCAGATCGGTATCCCGTGCCGATTTTTTTGTCGCGTATCGGCTGGAATATCGAAGAATGCTCTTTGTTCATTTCCCGGGGGGGAGGGGGGAGGAGTCAAAAAAACCAGCAGAGACTCGCTCGGCGAGAAAAAGAGAAAGGCTCGCAGCGCGTGCGGGTACAAATATGCGCAACAAAGAGCGAACGAAACGAATCGCGTGCGTACACCGCGGTGTCGAGGAAAAAGTGTCGGGGAGAACGCGCCAGGCTTCGAATATATGATCAAATCGTCACGGGATCATCGGTTTGTTTTTGCGGCTACGGTGATTACGTCGTTGTGTGTTACGCGCCTCGAGGGTATACGCTTGGAGAAATTTTCCAGGAGAGAGTGATTACAGGGGAGTTTTTCATTTCCCCTCGAGATCGTGGTTAACGCGAACCGATTTTTTGTCGGAGATGCCGGTCGCGATAGGGAAATTGGAGAGTATTTAATTGAAACGCCGAGTATGGGTGATTTTTTCTAAAGGACTAACTCCGGGAGGTGTATGAATTATTCATTGGATGTTTTTGTCGGTGGTTAAATTATGGCAGATCACACGAATGTGAAAAATTGGAACTAATTATTGCCGTGCAAGTGGTGAAAATTACTGTTGATTCTCTGAATGACAAAAAAGCACCATACATGAAAGGACTAATCACTCATCTGTTGCTATTTTTTATTTTTAATCGGTGTATTGAGTAATAAAATAGTTTAGAGATTAATAAAATTTCCCACGCATTTTTCATCCCACTCACAAGAAAAAAAAAAAAAAAAAAAAACTTGCAACCTCAGAATTACAAGTATGGAGAGAAAAAAGCTTTAGACTCCCTTCAAAATGCCATGTAGCTCGGCAAACCTCCCAAATCTATCTAATCCTCGCTAGTGAGCATGAAAAGGAAAGGACCGTGGATCTCGGAGCTGGAAAAGTCTCTAATGGAAGAAAATCCTACTTAATCTTTCAAAACACGATCCCTTTTTTTCCCCGTATCGTATTCCGAGAGATCGTTGACTCCGCGTCGATTTAGCGCCTCTGCGCCCATTGTCATGCGAAGAAGAAGGATAAAAGGCAGGTACGAGAGAACTCTGTCACGTATACTCTTGTGTACCTGTTGTACAGCAGAGCCTGGCCGACACATGCTGCGAGAAAGACGCTTTTTTTAGGGGTTTCCCTTCGCAGCGCGTGTCCCTTTTCTCACCCCCCCCCACACTTGTTTTGGAGGGAACAACGGTGCACTGCTGCCACATGACGCCTTCTCTTCCAATACAGTCCCACGGTGCCACGTCAGCGGGAAATAGGTTTCCTATTGATTATTTGCCCTTTGGGAGGATATTACGGAAGGACGAAAGGATTGAATTCGACAGTAATCCCAAAATGATGTGAAATCCGTCGCGCTCGTGCCTTTGGTGGATTTTTCAGACGTCGCTCGTAAGAAATATTTAATTCCAGAGAGTGCTCCTATATATAGGGACCTTCGCTATCTTTGCTCCTCGAAAGGTTTCAAATTTAACTTTCAAAACTTGAAAAAAAAAAAAATAAAATAAATAAAAATAAAAAGCGATCCTCCTTCCTACGGTGAAAATTGTTACAAATCAAATCGCGAATAAAGCCATTGCACAGTCAATCAAGCGATTTTTCCATCCTCTTGTGAAATATCGCTCACGCGTCTTTCGGTCGCTACACCTTTCTAGGCGTATACACACGCGAGAGGCTATATAATATGTAATATGCATCTAAACACAAAACGCATAGAAAAAGAACTGGGACGCGTATAATCGGCCGATCCAATCGCGTACTTAGCATATAATATGTACATGTGCGTGCCGCGGTCATTCATACGTATATTACGTGTATACGTGTATACATAGGCGCTGGGGAGTTGGGGAGTCGGGAAGGTAATGCAAGCCCCGTTAATCTTATAACGAGAAGCAGCTTTGGTATACCGAATGAGCAGCCAAGCCTGTACCTGCCGTGGAAAATGGATCATAGTCCAGGAGGGGGAGTGCGGGTGTTGGGTATTATTTGTAGTTAACTTGTATAGGCGCGTGTGTATGAAATCTTGGGAAATATCGTAAAATGCAAGGTACGGGCGCCAGGAGAGAAATCGAGGTGGATGCGTTCGGAGAAGAGATTCTTTAAATTCCTTCGCAGAGTTGTACCCATCATTGGTTGCATGGGTATGCCTGTACCTTGTGTGTGGTCTTCCTTACGTATGCTATGTGCCGATCGGTTGAGCTACAATGAAAATGAAATTTATACGCCTTTGAAGTGCTTAACGTGATTTACAGGTTTTTATTTTTACAAATTTTACCAGCTCAGAGTTACGCGTTCTGTTATTGTGTGCTATATTAAGATGGATAATAAATGTGGACTTGTTTTTTTACCACGTAAAATCCTGTGACTGTTTTCTCGACTACAACGTAGTGGGCACCGAAAAATAGCGAGAAAAAGTTAAGTAGGTACACACGAAGCATATGCAATACAGTTTTCTTTTTCATTCACAAAATTCGGATCAAGAAACGCTTTCGCCACCAACGATACAGTGTGCGCACATTACCGATCACCGCCTCCTACATTTTTTTCATACCTGTGCTAGTAGAAAAACCAAAATAGACTTTGCAAAATCGCGTGCGAGAAAATTCTTAGGAGCAAGAAAAAAAAAAAGGTTAATTACCAATACGCTCCAAGTGAATCATTCACCGAGCAATAGATAAGTACGGAGAAACACACAAATGCGCGAGGCGCGCCGATCGAGAACTTTTGTGACTCACGTATTTGCCGTGTGTATATATCGCGCTTGTCAGCTATTTCGCAACCGAGTATACAACCGGCAACCGTATACCCAGCTTCGACGACCTGGAAAGTGTATCTTTTTTTTTTTTTTTTTTTTTTTCATACCTATAGACGCAGTGCTTTTGCGCCAAACGATGCGAGGACGGTTCTTTTCCGCGTTTGTGAACGAATCAAGAGGACGCGTGTATAGGTGGTAAGCGACTCTCTTGAAGCTCGAATATAAGTGGATTGCTCATTCAATGATTCACACGCTCCATCCGTATTCTATGAAATTTGACGCTCGCATCGAGTTTACGTTATTTTCTCCCCCCCCCCCCCTCGTGAAAATGGCGCAATTGATGCTCTTTAAATAATGACTCAATGGCGTTTTGTATAATCATGATTGCCATCTGAAGTGTAACTAAACAAGTTCACCGGGTTACCATATTCTCATGTAGTAACAAGCTCGGTATAATCTACTTAAAAGTAGATCACGTATGATAGGTAATATACGTTTAGTCGAGGCAATTAATCGACCCGATTAGAGACCAATGTCCAATGGCACCGAGTAAAAAAATACACACTTAAATGGCCCCGTCTACGTACGGGTAACATTCTCGTTCCGCAGAAGCCATCGCCCTTCCTCCTCCGAATATACTCGATCGCACGCTGGTAATGTACGTAATGGCAAGGCGACTCATCATTTTTCCCACATCCGCGTCGCCGAACGGAGGAGGATGCACATACCAAACTCGTCGAGCGCTTCCTCCTGCCGTGCACACTTTGGCGATGAATCATTTGTTAAATTTCGAGACGCCGACTTTAGCGCTACTTATTCGTATGAAAAAAAAAAAAAAAAAAAGCAACATGTATACAATCATCGAGGAGAAAACACACGCTTCCGCGCTCTCTTACATTGCGAACGGCACAATGGCACGTATGGGTATCGCGTATACCGGGTCGTGTATAATCTCGATGAGGAGCGCTACTCGTGCCCCGTACAATACATTATACACACACGCAAGACACGCGCGAGTGATAAGATAAGCGCTCTTGTCTCTTTCTCGGGTTTCGAGACGCGCGTCAGGTGTATCATACCGATATCGCGCGCCGGTTTGTTCGGGGTACCAAACAACGGGGTTGGATTTCTATTTTTTTTTTCCTTCCACCTCCGATGATGGGTTATTTGTGTTGTGTCTGTCCGATTTAACGCACGTGGGCGAGAGAAAAAAGGGGCTTATCGACGATCGAACCAACGGTGGAGATAAGGGACTTTCGTTTGCTCGAGAGCGGGACTGGAAGGATTTTCTATCGTGCTGGGGAAAACAGATCGATATATACGCGGCAC